TGTACAACCCGCTTGCCTGTACAACCCGCTTGCCTGTACAACCCGCTTGCCTGTACAACCCGCTTGCCTGTACAACCCGCTTGCCTGTACAACCCGCTTGCCTGTACAACCCGCTTGCCTGTACAACCCGCTTGCCTGTACAACCCGCTTGCCTGTACAACCCGCTTGCCTGTACAACCCGCTTGCCTGTACAACCCGCTTGCCTGTACAACCCGCTTGCCTGTACAACCCGCTTGCCTGTACAACCCGCTTGCCTGTACAACCCGCTTGCCTGTACAACCCGCTTGCCTGTACAACCCGCTTGCCTGTACAACCCGCTTGCCTGTACAACCCGCTTGCCTGTACAACCCGCTTGCCTGTACAACCCGCTTGCCTGTACAACCCGCTTGCCTGTACAACCCGCTTGCCTGTACAACCCGCTTGCCTGTACAACCCGCTTGCCTGTACAACCCGCTTGCCTGTACAACCCGCTTGCCTGTACAACCCGCTTGCCTGTACAACCCGCTTGCCTGTACAACCCGCTTGCCTGTACAACCCGCTTGCCTGTACAACCCGCTTGCCTGTACAACCCGCTTGCCTGTACAACCCGCTTGCCTGTACAACCCGCTTGCCTGTACAACCCGCTTGCCTGTACAACCCGCTTGCCTGTACAACCCGCTTGCCTGTACAACCCGCTTGCCTGTACAACCCGCTTGCCTGTACAACCCGCTTGCCTGTACAACCCGCTTGCCTGTACAACCCGCTTGCCTGTACAACCCGCTTGCCTGTACAACCCGCTTGCCTGTACAACCCGCTTGCCTGTACAACCCGCTTGCCTGTACAACCCGCTTGCCTGTACAACCCGCTTGCCTGTACAACCCGCTTGCCTGTACAACCCGCTTGCCTGTACAACCCGCTTGCCTGTACAACCCGCTTGCCTGTACAACCCGCTTGCCTGTACAACCCGCTTGCCTGTACAACCCGCTTGCCTGTACAACCCGCTTGCCTGTACAACCCGCTTGCCTGTACAACCCGCTTGCCTGTACAACCCGCTTGCCTGTACAACCCGCTTGCCTGTACAACCCGCTTGCCTGTACAACCCGCTTGCCTGTACAACCCGCTTGCCTGTACAACCCGCTTGCCTGTACAACCCGCTTGCCTGTACAACCCGCTTGCCTGTACAACCCGCTTGCCTGTACAACCCGCTTGCCTGTACAACCCGCTTGCCTGTACAACCCGCTTGCCTGTACAACCCGCTTGCCTGTACAACCCGCTTGCCTGTACAACCCGCTTGCCTGTACAACCCGCTTGCCTGTACAACCCGCTTGCCTGTACAACCCGCTTGCCTGTACAACCCGCTTGCCTGTACAACCCGCTTGCCTGTACAACCCGCTTGCCTGTACAACCCGCTTGCCTGTACAACCCGCTTGCCTGTACAACCCGCTTGCCTGTACAACCCGCTTGCCTGTACAACCCGCTTGCCTGTACAACCCGCTTGCCTGTACAACCCGCTTGCCTGTACAACCCGCTTGCCTGTACAACCCGCTTGCCTGTACAACCCGCTTGCCTGTACAACCCGCTTGCCTGTACAACCCGCTTGCCTGTACAACCCGCTTGCCTGTACAACCCGCTTGCCTGTACAACCCGCTTGCCTGTACAACCCGCTTGCCTGTACAACCCGCTTGCCTGTACAACCCGCTTGCCTGTACAACCCGCTTGCCTGTACAACCCGCTTGCCTGTACAACCCGCTTGCCTGTACAACCCGCTTGCCTGTACAACCCGCTTGCCTGTACAACCCGCTTGCCTGTACAACCCGCTTGCCTGTACAACCCGCTTGCCTGTACAACCCGCTTGCCTGTACAACCCGCTTGCCTGTACAACCCGCTTGCCTGTACAACCCGCTTGCCTGTACAACCCGCTTGCCTGTACAACCCGCTTGCCTGTACAACCCGCTTGCCTGTACAACCCGCTTGCCTGTACAACCCGCTTGCCTGTACAACCCGCTTGCCTGTACAACCCGCTTGCCTGTACAACCCGCTTGCCTGTACAACCCGCTTGCCTGTACAACCCGCTTGCCTGTACAACCCGCTTGCCTGTACAACCCGCTTGCCTGTACAACCCGCTTGCCTGTACAACCCGCTTGCCTGTACAACCCGCTTGCCTGTACAACCCGCTTGCCTGTACAACCCGCTTGCCTGTACAACCCGCTTGCCTGTACAACCCGCTTGCCTGTACAACCCGCTTGCCTGTACAACCCGCTTGCCTGTACAACCCGCTTGCCTGTACAACCCGCTTGCCTGTACAACCCGCTTGCCTGTACAACCCGCTTGCCTGTACAACCCGCTTGCCTGTACAACCCGCTTGCCTGTACAACCCGCTTGCCTGTACAACCCGCTTGCCTGTACAACCCGCTTGCCTGTACAACCCGCTTGCCTGTACAACCCGCTTGCCTGTACAACCCGCTTGCCTGTACAACCCGCTTGCCTGTACAACCCGCTTGCCTGTACAACCCGCTTGCCTGTACAACCCGCTTGCCTGTACAACCCGCTTGCCTGTACAACCCGCTTGCCTGTACAACCCGCTTGCCTGTACAACCCGCTTGCCTGTACAACCCGCTTGCCTGTACAACCCGCTTGCCTGTACAACCCGCTTGCCTGTACAACCCGCTTGCCTGTACAACCCGCTTGCCTGTACAACCCGCTTGCCTGTACAACCCGCTTGCCTGTACAACCCGCTTGCCTGTACAACCCGCTTGCCTGTACAACCCGCTTGCCTGTACAACCCGCTTGCCTGTACAACCCGCTTGCCTGTACAACCCGCTTGCCTGTACAACCCGCTTGCCTGTACAACCCGCTTGCCTGTACAACCCGCTTGCCTGTACAACCCGCTTGCCTGTACAACCCGCTTGCCTGTACAACCCGCTTGCCTGTACAACCCGCTTGCCTGTACAACCCGCTTGCCTGTACAACCCGCTTGCCTGTACAACCCGCTTGCCTGTACAACCCGCTTGCCTGTACAACCCGCTTGCCTGTACAACCCGCTTGCCTGTACAACCCGCTTGCCTGTACAACCCGCTTGCCTGTACAACCCGCTTGCCTGTACAACCCGCTTGCCTGTACAACCCGCTTGCCTGTACAACCCGCTTGCCTGTACAACCCGCTTGCCTGTACAACCCGCTTGCCTGTACAACCCGCTTGCCTGTACAACCCGCTTGCCTGTACAACCCGCTTGCCTGTACAACCCGCTTGCCTGTACAACCCGCTTGCCTGTACAACCCGCTTGCCTGTACAACCCGCTTGCCTGTACAACCCGCTTGCCTGTACAACCCGCTTGCCTGTACAACCCGCTTGCCTGTACAACCCGCTTGCCTGTACAACCCGCTTGCCTGTACAACCCGCTTGCCTGTACAACCCGCTTGCCTGTACAACCCGCTTGCCTGTACAACCCGCTTGCCTGTACAACCCGCTTGCCTGTACAACCCGCTTGCCTGTACAACCCGCTTGCCTGTACAACCCGCTTGCCTGTACAACCCGCTTGCCTGTACAACCCGCTTGCCTGTACAACCCGCTTGCCTGTACAACCCGCTTGCCTGTACAACCCGCTTGCCTGTACAACCCGCTTGCCTGTACAACCCGCTTGCCTGTACAACCCGCTTGCCTGTACAACCCGCTTGCCTGTACAACCCGCTTGCCTGTACAACCCGCTTGCCTGTACAACCCGCTTGCCTGTACAACCCGCTTGCCTGTACAACCCGCTTGCCTGTACAACCCGCTTGCCTGTACAACCCGCTTGCCTGTACAACCCGCTTGCCTGTACAACCCGCTTGCCTGTACAACCCGCTTGCCTGTACAACCCGCTTGCCTGTACAACCCGCTTGCCTGTACAACCCGCTTGCCTGTACAACCCGCTTGCCTGTACAACCCGCTTGCCTGTACAACCCGCTTGCCTGTACAACCCGCTTGCCTGTACAACCCGCTTGCCTGTACAACCCGCTTGCCTGTACAACCCGCTTGCCTGTACAACCCGCTTGCCTGTACAACCCGCTTGCCTGTACAACCCGCTTGCCTGTACAACCCGCTTGCCTGTACAACCCGCTTGCCTGTACAACCCGCTTGCCTGTACAACCCGCTTGCCTGTACAACCCGCTTGCCTGTACAACCCGCTTGCCTGTACAACCCGCTTGCCTGTACAACCCGCTTGCCTGTACAACCCGCTTGCCTGTACAACCCGCTTGCCTGTACAACCCGCTTGCCTGTACAACCCGCTTGCCTGTACAACCCGCTTGCCTGTACAACCCGCTTGCCTGTACAACCCGCTTGCCTGTACAACCCGCTTGCCTGTACAACCTGCTTGCCTGTACAACCCGCTTGCCCAACGCTGCCAGCAGCAGCAGAAGCTGCGTTGGTGCCTGTTTGCCCCTCCTGTCCCCCTTTTCACCAGGTGACTTTTGAGTCGACTCAAAATACACCATTTCACCGCCCACCAAACCCAACAACTTACCTTCCTCACAAGAGCCCACCTTTCTCATCAAAGCGGCCATCCTCTTCATCTCTCGAGCTACAGCCCTCGCTTGCCCAGCACCATTCATAGCGCCTGCTTGGCGCTTACCCCTCCCCCGACCCTCTCTCCCACCCATTAGCCACAATCCCTACCTTCCTCATCACAGCAGCCACTCGCTTCATCTCGAGGTGCAGCCCGCGCTTGCTAGTGCATGTATGGGCCCCTCTACCCCTTTCCACCCCCAACACACACCCACATCATTGCCAAGAGCCCATCTTCCTCATGACAGCAGCCACTCGCTTCATCTCGAGGACAGCCCCCGCTTGCCCAGCGCTGCCAACAGCACCTCTGTGAGTGCCAATGTGACTCCCCCCCCCCCACCCCTCACAAAATACCATTAGATGACCTTCGTCATCACAGTGGCCACTCGCTTCACCTCGAGGTGCAGCCCGCGCTTGCCCAGCGCTGCCAGCAGCAGCCCTGCTAGTGCCTGTAGGGTCCTCCCGTTCCTTCCACCCACCTTCCTCATAAGTGCAGCAACTCGCTTCATCTCGAGGTGCAGCCCGCGCTTGCCCAGCGCTGCCAGCAGCAGCGTGCACAGATCCGCGTCTATCAGCGCCCGCGTGGCCCTTCTCTCCCGCATCAGCTCGAAGAGCTCCAAGGCGTCGCGGGTGATGCCTGGTTGGGGAGGATGGGGCACGAGGAGAGCAAGGACGAGAATAGCACCATAGGCCACTCCTGCGCAGATCCGTCCCTATCAACTCGAAGAGCTCCAAGGCGTTGCGAGTAATTCCTGGTTGGAAGTGCGGGAAGGGAGAAGAGGACAGAAGGGACAGTGCGCACAGATCCACAACTATCAGTGCCCTCGCGGCCCTTCTTCCCTGCATCGACTCTAGCACACGAAGAGCAGGTTCAACATACCGAGTGCAGAGAGTGTGGAGCACATGCGAGCACATGGAGAGCATACATAGAGTCCTGGACACAGCAAGAGCATATCGAGAGCGAGAGGGTGAGCATGCAAGCACGGAAGAGCTGCTGGTCTGGCTTCAGTCTGGTGCCCAGCATGCGAGTGAGGTAAAAGGGAGCCTTGCTGGGGTTGCACTCTAGCAAGCAGGTCAGCACGCGACTAGAGCGCTTGACACACCAAGAGCAGAAAGAGCGGCGCTTGACACAACAAGAGCAGAAAGAGCGGCGCTTGACACAACAAGAGCAGAAAGAGCGGCGCTTGACACAACAAGAGCAGAAAGAGCGGCGCTTGACACAACAAGAGCAGAAAGAGCGGCGCTTGACACAACAAGAGCAGAAAGAGCGGCGCTTGACACAACAAGAGCAGAAAGAGCGGCACTTGACACAACAAGAGCAGAAAGAGCGGCGCTTGACACAACAAGAGCAGGTTCACTGTACCTAGTGCAGAGAGTGTGAGCATGCAGGCACGGAAGAGCTGCTTGTCGGGCTTCAGTCCGGCGTCCAGCATGCGCGTGAGGTAGAAGAGGGCCCTGCTAGGGTTTCGCTCGCGGCACAAGGCGAGGATGAGCATTCGGAAGGTGAGCTGCTTGGGGGGTGGGATGAGGTAGGAAGGGAGGGAGGAGGTGAAAGTGACAGGATTTTTCAGAGCCTTGCTGGGGTTGTGCTCACAGCACAAGGTGAGGATGAGCATTCGGAAGGTGAGCTGTTTGGGGGGTGGGATGAGGTACGAGAGGTAAGGAGGGGCGGCAATGCAAAGGTTGCAGTCGTGTGCACAGCACAGAGCAGGGAGTACATTTGTAGCGAGAGAGGAAGGACGTGCAGGCGGTAGCAACAGAAACGAGATGAGATGAGATGAGATGGGGCGGGGCGGGCGGGGCGAGGCAAGACGAGACGAGACGAGACGAGACGAGACGAGACCAGACGAGAGAGAGAGAGAGAGAGAGGAGACGAGACCAGAGAGACCAGAGGAGGGGAGGGGAGGGGAGGTGAGATGAGGGGAGGTGGGATGAGAGGAGATGAGATGAGATGAGATGAGGTGTGATGAGGTGAGGAACACCGCAGTGCAAGAAAAGATAAGAAGAGTTGGTTAACAATCCAAGAAAAGATAATCGCACCAATACGATGAGATGAGATGAGTGTAACTCACCTCCGTTTGCTTAACCCTCAGACACATCGCCTCAGAGGGCTTGACTCACCTCAGTGGGATTGACTCACCTCAGCGGGCTTGACTCACCTCAGCGGGCTTGACTCACCTCAGAGGGCTTGACTCACCTCAGCGGGCTTGACTCACCAGCGGGCTTGACTCACCTGAGCGGGCTTGACTCACCTCAGCGGGGCTTGACTCACCTCAGCGGGCTTGACTCACCTCAGAGGGCTTGACTCACCTCAGAGGGCTTGACTCACCTCAGAGGGCTTGACTCACCTCAGAGGGCTTGACTCACCTCAGAGGGCTTGACTCACCTCAGCGGGCTTGACTCACCTCAGCGGGCTTGACTCACCTCAGAGGGCTTGACTCACCTCAGAGGGCTTGACTCACCTCAGAGGGCTTGACTCACCTCAGCGGGCTTGACTCACCTCAGCGGGCTTGACTCACCTCAGAGGGCTTGACTCACCTCAGAGGGCTTGACTCACCTCAGAGGGCTTGACTCACCTCAGAGGGCTTGACTCACCTCAGAGGGCTTGACTCACCTCAGAGGGCTTGACTCACCTCAGAGGGCTTGACTCACCTCAGAGGGCTTGACTCACCTCAGAGGGCTTGACTCACCTCAGAGGGCTTGACTCACCTCAGAGGGCTTGACTCACCTCAGTGGGCTTGACTCACCTCAGCGGGCTTGACTCACCTCAGCGGGCTTGACTCACCTCAGAGGGCTTGACTCACCTCAGAGGGCTTGACTCACCTCAGGGGCTTGACACACCTCAGCGGGCTTGACTCACCTCAGCGGGCTTGACTCACCTCAGCGGGCTTGACTCACCTCAGCGGGCTTGACTCACCTCAGAGGGCTTGACTCACCTCAGAGGGCTTGACTCACCTCAGAGGGCTTGACTCACCTCAGAGGGCTTGACTCACCTCAGAGGGGCTTGACTCACCTCAGCGGGCTTGACTCACCTCAGCGGGCTTGACTCACCTCAGAGGGCTTGACTCACCTCAGAGGGCTTGACTCACCTCAGCGGGCTTGACTCACCTCAGAGGGCTTGACTCACCTCAGAGGGCTTGACTCACCTCAGAGGGCTTGACTCACCTCAGAGGGCTTGACTCACCTCAGAGGGCTTGACTCACCTCAGCGGGCTTGACTCACCTCAGAGGGCTTGACTCACCTCAGAGGGCTTGACTCACCTCAGAGGGCTTGACTCACCTCAGAGGGCTTGACTCACCAGAGGGGCTTGACTCACCTCAGAGGGCTTGACTCACCTCAGAGGGCTTGACTCACCTCAGAGGGCTTGACTCACCTCAAGAGGGCTTGACTCACCTCAGAGGGCTTGACTCACCTCAGAGGGCTTGACTCACCTCAGAGGGCTTGACTCACCTCAGAGGGCTTGACTCACCTCAAGAGGGCTTGACTCACCTCAGAGGGCTTGACTCACCTCAGCGGGCTTGACTCACCTCAGCGGGCTTGACTCACCTCAGAGGGCTTGACTCACCTCAGAGGGCTTGACTCACCTCAGAGGGCTTGACTCACCTGAGAGGGCTTGACTCACCTGAGAGGGCTTGACTCACCTCAGAGGGCTTGACTCACCTCAGAGGGCTTGACTCACCTCAGAGGGCTTGACTCACCTCAGAGGGCTTGACTCACCTCAGAGGGCTTGACTCACCTCAGAGGGCTTGACTCACCTCAGAGGGCTTGACTCACCTCAGTGGGCTTGACTCACCTCAGCGGGCTTGACTCACCTCAGAGGGCTTGACTCACCTCAGAGGGCTTGACTCACCTCAGAGGGCTTGACTCACCTCAGCGGGCTTGACTCACCTCAGAGGGCTTGACTCACCTCAGAGGGCTTGACTCACCTCAGAGGGCTTGACTCACCTCAGAGGGCTTGACTCACCTCAGAGGGCTTGACTCACCTCAGCGGGCTTGACTCACCTCAGAGGGCTTGACTCACCTCAGCGGGCTTGACTCACCTCAAGGGCTTGACTCACCTCAGAGGGCTTGACTCACCTCAGAGGGCTTGACTCACCTCAGAGGGCTTGACTCACCTCAGAGGGCTTGACTCACCTCAGAGGGCTTGACTCACCTCAAGAGGGCTTGACTCACTTCAGAGGGCTTGACTCACCTCAGAGGGCTTGACTCACCTCAGAGGGCTTGACTCACCTCAGAGGGCTTGACTCACCTCAGAGGGCTTGACTCACCTCAGAGGGCTTGACTCACCTCAGAGCGGGCTTGACTCACCTCAGAGGGCTTGACTCACCTCAGCGGGCTTTGACTCACCTCAGAGGGCTTGACTCACCTCAAGCGGGCTTGAACTCACCTCAGAGGGCTTGACTCACCTCAGAGGGCTTGACTCACCTCAGAGGGCTGACTCACCTCAGAGGGCTTGACTCACCTCAGAGGGCTTGACTCACCTCAGAGGCTTGACTCACCTCAGAGGCGCTTGACTCACCTCAGGGGCTTGAACTCACCTCAGAGGGCTTGACTCACCTCAGAGGGCTTGACTCACCTCAGAGGGCTTGACTCACCTCAGAGGGCTTGACTCACCTCAGAGGGCTTGACTCACCTCAGAGGGCTTGACTCACCTCAGAGGGCTTGACTCACCTCGAGAGGGCTTGACTCACCTCAGAGGGCTTGACTCACTCAGAGGGCTTGACTCACTCAGAGGGCTTGACTCACCTCAGAGGGCTTGACTCACCTCAGAGGGCTTGACTCACCTCAGGGGCTTGACTCACCTCAGAGGGCTTGACTCACCTCAGTGGGCTTGACTCACCTCAGCGGGCTTGACTCACCTCAGCGGGCTTGACTCACCTCAGAGGGCTTGACTCACCTCAGAGGGCTTGACTCACCTCAGCGGGCTTGACTCACCTCAGCGGGCTTGACTCACCTCAGCGGGCTTGACTCACCTCAGCGGGCTTGACTCACCTCAGAGGGCTTGACTCACCTCAGAGGGCTTGACTCACCTCAGAGGGCTTGACTCACCTCAGAGGGCTTGACTCACCTCAGCGGGCTTGACTCACCTCAGGGCTTGACTCACCTCAGGGCTTGACTCACCTCAGAGGGCTTGACTCACCTCAGCGGGCTTGACTCACCTCAGAGGGCTTGACTCACCTCAGAGGGCTTGACTCACCTCAGAGGGCTTGACTCACCTCAGAGGGCTTGACTCACCTCAGAGGGCTTGACTCACCTCAGAGGGCTTGACTCACCTCAGGGCTTGACTCACCTCAGAGGGCTTGACTCACCTCAGAGGGCTTGACTCACCTCAGCGGGCTTGACTCACCTCAGAGGGCTTGACTCACCTCAGAGGGCTTGACTCACCTCAGCGGGCTTGACTCACCTCAGAGGGCTTGACTCACCTCAGAGGGCTTGACTCACCTCAGAGGGCTTGACTCACCTCAGAGGGCTTGACTCACCTCAGAGGGCTTGACTCACCTCAGAGGGCTTGACTCACCTCAGAGGGCTTGACTCACCTCAGAGGGCTTGACTCACCTCAGAGGGCTTGACTCACCTCAGGGCTTGACTCACCTCAGCGGGCTTGACTCACCTCAGCGGGCTTGACTCACCTCAGAGGGCTTGACTCACCTCAGGGGCTTGACTCACCTCAGCGGGCTTGACTCACCTCAGAGGGCTTGACTCACCTCAGCGGGCTTGACTCACCTCAGCGGGCTTGACTCACCTCAGCGGGCTTGACTCACCTCAGCGGGCTTGACTCACCTCAGAGGGCTTGACTCACCTCAGAGGGCTTGACTCACCTCAGAGGGCTTGACTCACCTCAGAGGGCTTGACTCACCTCAGAGGGCTTGACTCACCTCAGAGGGCTTGACTCACCTCAGAGGGCTTGACTCACCTCAGAGGGCTTGACTCACCTCAGAGGGCTTGACTCACCTCAGGGCTTGACTCACCTCAGAGGGCTTGACTCACCTCAGAGGGCTTGACTCACCTCAGCGGGCTTGACTCACCTCAGAGGGCTTGACTCACCTCAGAGGGCTTGACTCACCTCAGCGGGCTTGACTCACCTCAGAGGGCTTGACTCACCTCAGCGGGCTTGACTCACCTCAGAGGGCTTGACTCACCTCAGCGGGCTTGACTCACCTCAGCGGGCTTGACTCACCTCAGCGGGCTTGACTCACCTCAGCGGGCTTGACTCACCTCAGAGGGCTTGACTCACCTCAGAGGGCTTGACTCACCTCAGAGGGCTTGACTCACCTCAGAGGGCTTGACTCACCTCAGAGGGCTTGACTCACCTCAGAGGGCTTGACTCACCTCAGAGGGCTTGACTCACCTCAGGGCTTGACTCACCTCAGAGGGCTTGACTCACCTCAGAGGGCTTGACTCACCTCAGAGGGCTTGACTCACCTCAGAGGGCTTGACTCACCTCAGCGGGCTTGACTCACCTCAGGGGCTTGACTCACCTCAGCGGGCTTGACTCACCTCAGAGGGCTTGACTCACCTCAGAGGGCTTGACTCACCTCAGAGGGCTTGACTCACCTCAGAGGGCTTGACTCACCTCAGCGGGCTTGACTCACCTCAGAGGGCTTGACTCACCTCAGCGGGCTTGACTCACCTCAGAGGGCTTGACTCACCTCAGAGGGCTTGACTCACCTCAGCGGCTTGACTCACCTCAGAGGGCTTGACTCACCTCAGCGGGCTTGACTCACCTCAGAGGGCTTGACTCACCTCAGAGGGCTTGACTCACCTCAGAGGGCTTGACTCACCTCAGCGGGCTTGACTCACCTCAGCGGGCTTGACTCACCTCAGCGGGCTTGACTCACCTCAGAGGGCTTGACTCACCTCAGAGGGCTTGACTCACCTCAGAGGGCTTGACTCACCTCAGGGCTTGACTCACCTCAGCGGGCTTGACTCACCTCAGCGGGCTTGACTCACCTCAGAGGGCTTGACTCACCTCAGCGGGCTTGACTCACCTCAGAGGGCTTGACTCACCTCAGGGGCTTGACTCACCTCAGAGGGCTTGACTCACCTCAGAGGGCTTGACTCACCTCAGCGGGCTTGACTCACCTCAGAGGGCTTGACTCACCTCAGCGGGCTTGACTCACCTCAGAGGGCTTGACTCACCTCAGAGGGCTTGACTCACCTCAGAGGGCTTGACTCACCTCAGCGGGCTTGACTCACCTCAGCGGGCTTGACTCACCTCAGCGGGCTTGACTCACCTCAGAGGGCTTGACTCACCTCAGAGGGCTTGACTCACCTCAGCGGGCTTGACTCACCTCAGCGGGCTTGACTCACCTCAGAGGGCTTGACTCACCTCAGAGGGCTTGACTCACCTCAGAGGGCTTGACTCACCTCAGAGGGCTTGACTCACCTCAGCGGGCTTGACTCACCTCAGAGGGCTTGACTCACCTCAGCGGGCTTGACTCACCTCAGAGGGCTTGACTCACCTCAGAGGGCTTGACTCACCTCAGCGGGCTTGACTCACCTCAGAGGGCTTGACTCACCTCAGGGGCTTGACTCACCTCAGCGGGCTTGACTCACCTCAGTGGGCTTGACTCACCTCAGCGGGCTTGACTCACCTCAGAGGGCTTGACTCACCTCAGAGGGCTTGACTCACCTCAGAGGGCTTGACTCACCTCAGTGGGCTTGACTCACCTCAGCGGGCTTGACTCACCTCAGGGGCTTGACTCACCTCAGAGGGCTTGACTCACCTCAGCGGGCTTGACTCACCTCAGAGGGCTTGACTCACCTCAGTGGGCTTGACTCACCTCAGCGGGCTTGACTCACCTCAGCGGGCTTGACTCACCTCAGTGGGCTGACTCACCTCAGTGAGCTTGACTATCACAAGAGCAGGGGGTTTCTCCTCCCTCCACCGTGACCCCAGCATCGCATTCATAATCGCCATAGCCTCACAGCCACCCCTGGCCCCTTGACTCACCTCAGAGGGTTGCACCATCACAGAAGCACTGAGTTTTATTCTTCCATCCGCCGTGATCCCCAGCATCGCATCCATAATCGCCATAGCTTCCGTCACCCCTGCCGCCCCTCCCGTCCCTAGCCACCCCTTGATGACTCCATGCACGTCCTCCAGCCGCGGCACCAGGCCCCGCCGTTGCATCCTCTTCAAGATCACGTATGTGGCTCTCTTGAGGTCCCCATCTTGCAACAGTGCGCGGATGAGGAAGGAGAAGGTCAGCTGCAGTGGGTGGGAGAGGGTTCAGAGCAGGCAAGCATGAGGCATCCTGGTCAGCATCACGTATTTGGCTCCCTTGAGGTCCCCTTCTTGCAGCAGTGCGCGGATCAGGAAGGAAAAGGTCAGCTGAAAGGGGGTCGGCCCGTTTGTGGGATCGGGAGGATGGAAGAGAGAAGAGATTTTAGCCTTTGAGAATCCTCTGAAAACAGTTGCATCCATGCCTCCCCCTATCTTTGAGGTGGCTCAAAAATAGCCTCCCCCTATTTTTGAGGTTGCTCAAAAATAGCCTCCCCCTATTTTGAGGTGGCTCAAAAATAGCCTCCCCCTATTTTGAGGTGGCTCAAAAATAGCCTCCCCCTATTTTGAGGTGGCTCAAAAATAGCCTCCCCCTATTTTGAGGTGGCTAAAAAATAGCCTCCCCCTATTTTGAGGTGGCTCAAAAATAGCCTCCCCCTATTTTGAGGTGGCTCAAAAATAGCCTCCCCCTATTTTTGAGGCGCCTCAAAAATAGCCTCCCCCTATTTTTGAGGTGCCTAAAAAATAGCCTCTCCCTATTTTTGAGGCGCCTCAAAAATAGCCTCTCCCTATTTTTGAGGCGCCTCAAAACTAGCCCCCCCCTATTTTGAGGTGGCTCAAAAAAGCCCCCCCTATTTTGAGGTGGCTCAAAAATAGCCCCCCCCTATTTTGAGGTGGCTCAAAAATAGCCTCCCTCTATTTTGAGGTGGCTCAAAAATAGCCTCCCCCTATTTTGAGGTGGCTCAAAAATAGCCTCCCCCTATTTTGAGGTGGCTAAAAAATAGCCTCCCCCTATTTTGAGGTGGCTCAAAAATAGCCTCCCCCTATTTTGAGGTGGCTCAAAAATAGCCTCCCCCTATTTTTGAGGCGCCTCAAAAATAGCCTCCCCCTATTTTTGAGGTGCCTAAAAAATAGCCTCTCCCTATTTTTGAGGCGCCTCAAAAATAGCCTCTCCCTATTTTTGAGGCGCCTCAAAACTAGCCCCCCCCTATTTTGAGGTGGCTCAAAAATAGCCCCCCCTATTTTGAGGTGGCTCAAAAATAGCCCCCCCCTATTTTGAGGTGGCTCAAAAATAGCCTCCCTCTATTTTGAGGTGGCTCATGGTCTGATGAAGGCAGCCACCTGCCGAAACTAGTTACCATAAATTTTTCCCTACAAATTCTCGAGAGTTTTTCTGAGCAAGAATTGTTCTAAAACAACAGTGTTTTACAGCCCGCTGCCCACGTATGGCTAAAACCACCCACCAAGTGGGTGTTCTCAGGCCAGCTGCCAATCATGGGCGATGGCATCAAGGACGGGGGCTTCAAGACAGGGCTTCAAGGACAATGGCTTCAAGGTTCGACTAGTAAGGAGAACCAATCAAATGGGAAAAAAAAAAAAAACCTAAAAATGAGCTCCGCAGTGGGCTCCAGGTTCCCTACCCCAGCTTGGCCATCCCATCCCATCCATCCAACATCACTTCACACCCCTGCCGCCCCACCGTAGTTCAGAGAAGCAAGAGCTTTTGGAACAAGGAAACAATGAGTTGACTTTTGAGTCGACTCAAAAGGCACCCCTGCCACCGTAGTTACAGAGAACCAAGTGGTTTTGGAACGCGGAAACAAACAACCACCCTCGACATTTCTCACCGCAGTGGGCTTCAGCTTGTCGCCCAGCGAGGTCATCTCATCCACCATCACTTCACATCCCTGCCGCCCGTCCCTCCCCCCCTCCTTGTTGCTCCCCTTCATCACCAGGTGGCACAGCGCCACGGATGGCCGCTCCCCCTTGCCCTGCTCTTTTCAGCCCAGCACTCCCTTGCCCTAAAAGCGGAACTGTAAAACTGAAAAACAAGCAAACCTAATAAAATGCCATGTTCTTCTTTCAAAACAAATACTCACCGCAGTGGGCTTCAGCTTGCCGCCCAGCCTGGTCATCTCGTCCACCATCACTCCACACCCGTCCAGTCCCCCCCGTCCGCCCTCCTTGAGGCACCCTTTCATCACCAGGTGGCACAGCGCCAGGGACGGCCGCTCCCCCTTGCCCTGTCCCTTCCGCATCTTGAGGAACGCGTCGAGGGCTCTCAGGCCCTTGTCCGTGCCCACTAGCGCGCCGATCAGTTGGCAGTACACGGATTGTGGTATGGGGATGGGAGGGGGGGGTGGGATGGGAGGAGGAGGTGGTGGAGGGGGGTTTGTGGGACGCCTGATGGAGCTTGCTTGGTTGATCTCTGTCTCGTGCTGCTGCTCTGACTGTTGCAGCCGCTGCTCCTGCTGCTCTTGCTGCTCTTTCTGCTCCTGCTTCGACTGTGCTGGCCCCCATGGCCATGGCGCCAGCTTGCTCCACCCGTCCCACCCTAAGCAGCATGGTCACAACAGCACCATACGCAGTGCCAGTCGGCCCAAACAATCCCCCTCCTCTCCTCCACTCACCTTTCTCCCACCCATCCCCTCTCTCTGCTTCCCCACCCTTTCCACTCCTTCCCTTTCTCTCGCCATTAGGAACTTTCTTCGTGCCTTCTCACTCATCTCCCCCCACTCCCTCTCCCTTCTCCCCTCCATCCACCTCAGCAGCGCCAGAGCTTTCTCACTCTCCTCCGCAATCGCCAGCTCATACAGCACCTGCGACACCTCAGCACTGCCCAGTGACACGTCATCGCCGCCCAATCCCCCTCCAGCAGGGCCAACCTCTCCACCCCCCTCCTCCGACACGCCGCCAAGCCAGCTCATCAGCTTCGGCAGATCCTGAACCTCCTTGAGCCCCTCAATCGCTCCCAGCAGCAGAGCCACCTGACCTAGATCCACCGCTCTCAACTCCTCCACATCTAGAAGCCCTTTTCTCTTAGAAATGGCCTGCATTTCCTTCTCGCCCATTCCCTTAGCATCCGCCCCCCCTTTTTCGCCCTTTGCATTGGCACCTGTAGGCGAATCCTCCCACCCTCCCGACCCTCCCCAACCTCCCCAACCTCCCCAACCTCCCTATCCTCCCCGTCTTTCCGTGCTGCCAGCAGCAGCCCTTCCCTGAAGCCTGTCCCTCCGCCGCGCCTTCCTCTCAAATCTCTCGTCACCTCGCCTTCCTCCTCCATCCGCTCCTGGATCCTAACCACCTCCTTTACCTCCCTCTCGGTTACACCACTCGTTGAAGATCCCTCCTCACTCACGTCTCCCCCTTTCCTTACCTCACTCCGCATCTCCCGCCCTTGTCTCTCCAGCTCCTCTTTCAGCTGTGCCGCCAGCAGCACCACTCGTCTCTCCCTCTGCCTCTCTCTCTTCCTCTCCGCCCTCAGCCACAGCCACTCCTTGCTCGACCCGCGCCTCTGCTTCAAACTGCCGTCTGCCACTGCCACCAACCCACCTCCTCCTCCTCCGCCTCCTCCTCTCCATCCTGCGCCCCCGCCTCCTCTCTCGCTTCCTTCCTCTCCGCCCTCAGCCACTCGATGCTCGACCCCCTCTGCTTCTCTCGCCCCTTCAGACAGCCATCTGCTACTGCCAACGGCCCACTTTCTTCCTCGTACGCCTCCTCTTCCTCCTCTTCTCCCTCCTCCTCTTCCTCTCTCTCCTCCTCTCTCGCCTCCTTCCTCTCCTTCCTCAACCATTCCTTTCGCTTCTCTTGCGCACCCGCAGTCTTTGAACTGCTATCTGCTGTTGCCACCAACCCACCTTCCTCCTCTCCCTCTTCTGCTCCCACTTCGTCTTTCTCCTCCTCTTCCCCCTCCTCTCCCTCTCCTCCTCCTCTCTCTTCCCCCTCCTCTCTCTCTCCTCCTCCTCTCTCTTCCCCCTCCTCTCTCTCCTCCTCCTCCCCATTCCTCTCCTCTTTTCCCTCCACGACCCCTCTCCTCCTCTCCCCCTCCCTCACACCTCCCTCGGCCACCACTCTTATCCCCTCCCCCTCTGCAACACCCTCCATTACAGTCACATCAAAAGGCCCCTTCCATTGAATATCTAAACCTCCTTGCTCCTCTTCTTTCCCCCTTCCCTCTGCTTCCACCCTCCCCTCTGCTTTTGACCCCCCTCCCTGCACCTTCCCCTCTCCAATCCGCGGATTTCCAGCCGATGCTGCCTCTAATACACTTGCTGCTCCTAATGCCGTTGCCGCTGCAGCTTTCATTGCCACCATTGCTGCTGCTGCTTCTGTTGCCGCCGTTGCTGCTGCTGCTTCCGTTGCCGCTGCTTCTCCCGATGCCACTGCTAGCACCGATGAAGCTGCTGCTTCCGTGGCTGCTGCTGGTGAGGCCATGAGGAGGGGTTCGGTTGTGGTGGCAACATGCGCAGTGCTATGGCCGGATGGTGTGAGCGGCTCACCTGTAGCTCCCAAGGGGCCAGTCGAGCCACCAGGCATGAGGGGGGGTCCGGTTGTGGTGGCACCACGTGAGGTGCTAGGCTCTGATCGTAAGGCCGTCTCACTTGCTGCTGCAAACGGGCTCGTAGGACCAGGAGTGAGGGGGGGTTTCCTTGCCTGTTCGAGTGACTCGCTGGGGTCCGATGGAGGTGGTATTGGCGAGTCAATAGGACCCTTCACCAGGGTAACGCGGCCAGATGAACCAGGATCAGACGTGAGGGGGGATTCACTTGTCAGTTCGAGTGACTCACTGGGGTCAGACGGAGGTGCCGTTGGTGAGATAGCAGCAGCCTCCGTCGGGTATTTTTGAGAATTCTCAGTGGTACGGTTGGAAGACGAACTAGGGGAAACTGTGGTCCGTTCAAGTGTGCTAGGGTCCGATGGGAAGGAGGGCACAGATGGAGGTGGCAATGGCGACGAGATGGCAGCAGCCTCCGTCCGTTGGATACAGTCGGAAGACGAACTAGGGGAAACTGTGGTCCGTTCAAGTGCCTTCCTAGGGTCAGATGGGAGGGGCGGCGGTTTCAGAGTCGCTTCAAGTGGTGGTTTGGCAGGAGCAGACTGGGAGCGGGGATCAGCAATGGGGATTTGCAACTTGGTTGGGTCGGACGGGAGGGGCGGTTCAGTGGTGGCTTCAAGTGGTCTTGTGGGGTCGGGAGCGGTAACAGACTTGAACCATTGAACGGCGTCGGATAATCCTCGTGCCACGTCTCCCCCAAACCCGAACAGCCCCTTGCCACCACTGCTACTGCCACTGCTGCTGCTGCTGCTGGTGCTCCTGCTGCTCCTGCTACTGACTGCACTGATGCTGTTGCTGATGGTGTCCCCCCCCCTGTCCCTGTCACCCTGCTTGCTGCCAGGCTCAAAATCGATACTGCTCGCAAAGTCAACGTAAGCCGCAAGATCCGCCTCAATAGCCGCCAAATCCGCCTCACTAAGCTCATTCCTATCGCTCATCAGAACAAACTCTCGCTCCCCACTCCGCACCGTGACTTCCCTGCTGTCTCTCCCCTTCTCGCCGCCTCTCCCCCTCTCGCGGTCACTCCCCTCCTCACCATCACTCCCACCACTACCATCGCCGCCACTCGCCTTCCTCCTGCCGATGCTGATCCCAGTCAGCTTGAGACTGCCGCCGAACACTCGGAGAAACATCTCAGCATCACTCGGCCTTTTTGGTTCCCTCCCGTCCGCCCTTGGCGGTATCGGCAGACCCAGATACCATGCTGCCGCCACCTGCTGGTCATAATTAAGGTCTGAAAACGCATCCATCATGTTCACCTCTTCCCCCTCCCCTTTCTCCCCGGTTACCCCGCCTACCCTGGTTACGGACTCAGGAGGAACCCTTTTACGGGGATCCGTGACTTGTGCTCTGGACACCGCCCCCTTAGGCATTGCCTGAGGGGCATTCGCCCGTTTTCCTCCCCCCCTTCGGCCACCGCCTTTCTTCCCTGGTGCTTTTCCTGCTGCTGTCGCTCCAAAGCCTTTCGCCCTGGCGGCAGCACCGCTGCTGCCGATGGTGCTCTCGTCGTCACTGCTGCTGTCATCATCGTCAATGGGGTTACCACTGCTACTTCCATCCTCAACGTCTGCATGGGGGGGGCATGGGGAATGGCATGGTTAAGGGCACCGCTGCTGCTGATGGTGCTCTCATTGTCACTGCTGCCATCATCGTCACTGGGGTTACCGTTGTTACTCCTAGCCTCCACATCTGCATGGGAGGGGCATGGGAAGGGCAAGGATCGGATGGCATGGTAAAGGACACCCCTGCTGTTACCGGTGGTGCTCTCATCGTCACTGTTATCATCGTCACTGTTATCATCGTCACTGGGGTTACCACTGATATTGCTAGCCTCCTCATCTGCAGGGACACGCCGGGGAGGGGCATGGGAGGGCAAGGATGGGAGGGAAACGAAAGGGGAAGGGAAGGCGAAAGGGGAGGGGAGGAAAACTCGAAAGGGGAGGAAAGGGCCGGCCGGGGTGAAGGGTTGGAGATGGAAACAAAAGGAGAACAGCCAAGCCTGATGGATTGGCCTCTCTCAAACACTGAGAATTAGGGCCTAAACCAAGCCTAGAGGCTCGGATCTTACCACTGCCAGGAGGTCTGGGCCACAGCGAGAAAAGAGGCGGATCGGGAGGAGGGTCGGGAGGGGAAGAAGGCCCCTGTGGAGTGGTGGCACGCCCTGCAGCGGCAGCCACTATAGCCTTCCTAAACGACCCTTCCACGCCACTACCACTCGTGCTATAAAGCAAGGACCCGTTCCCTACGGGACGAACGCCCCTGTGGAGAGGCGGCACGCCCGCCTGCAGCTGCAGCCACTACAGCGTTTCTAAATGACCCTTCCACGCCACTACTAGTGCTATAAAGCAAGGACCCGTTCCTACGGGACGAAGGCCCCTGTGGAGTGGCACCTCCTGCAGCGGCAGCCACTACAACGTTCCTCCTAAATGACCCTTCCACGCCACTATTAGTGCTACTGGAAAGGGCCCTTTCCTAGGGGAAGAAGGACCCCTTGGAAGTGGCGGCACGCCCTGTAGCGGCAGCTGCTACAGCGCTTCCGAAATGACCCTTTCCGAGCCACTACTAGTGCTGTTGGAAAGGGGCCTTTCCGAGGGGAAGAAGTCCCCTGTGGAGTGGCACGCCCTGCAGCTTGCTGCGATTATAGCGTTCCTAGATGACCCTTTCACGGCACTATTACGAGGCTTTAGAGACGTCTGTCTCACGACACGATGTAATTCTAGACGCTTCCAATTGTGGTGTGCGTGAGTGAATCCCGCCCGCGCCGAAAACTGCGCGCGGAGAGCATTGCGGAGAGCATTGCGGTCCGAAGGCGGGACTACTAGTTGTATGCTGAACCGCCTGATTTGCAACTTAACGTGCAGATTAAGTTGCATCTTGAACAGCCTAGAGAGTCGGAGAATCAAGCGAAAGCAAACGGATAGAGGCTGAGGTTGATGAGCCGTGGGTTGCCGCAAATCCAGCAGAGCCACGTGGCCAAGATGTGGCTGCTGGGCGAATGGGAGAGATCAGCGACTCGGCCATGAGATCGGTGCAAGCTGAGGCGACTGCAGTCTATCATCGAATCGGATGGAGCCACGTGAAATGCCTTCATTGGCGAGCCATCGCGAGACACCGAGGCAGGGAAATAGTACCGCTGAGGCCGGCGGACGAGATTAACGGCGGCTTGGAGGCCGAGGAGTGGCTGGTAACAGGTGAATTAATCTCCACTTCTGAGACGCCTCTAGAATGCGCGTGTCCTAGAAAATCAGGGGCTTGGCGCAGGGCGGAGGGAAGCGGGATGGAGCGACTATTGAAGAATAGCATACAGAACTACCGTATAGTAGACGTTGGAAACGATGAAGCGGGATGTTCGTTGTCAGGTTGAAGGAATTTGGCGGCAAAAGCAGTCCCAAGGCCTAGGTAATGGTTCTGACGACATTTCTGATATGAACATCGAGGAACCGATTAGGGGAATCCGTTTGTTGTGTAAAACTATGACACGTAATCGATAATGTCTTTTATTAAACAATGCAGGTAACTCATGGTGGTAACTATTTAGCATTATTAGCAGAAGGCCTAGATATTGTGGGATATCTAACCTTCGACGTAACGAAATACCGTTACTTGAAGGCCGAACGAAACCTCGGAGCTACCACGGATCTTCGCAGCTCCCGCTGGATGGCCAACACGTCAGCAGCTAGAGTGGAGTTTCGGATGACTCGTCGCCCATCACTCCGCTGACACGTCACATGTGCGCCCAGCCCTTCCATACTCGCCGCATTTCCCGCCATTCTCTGCCCCCACCTCTCCGTCCGCATACCTGCAACCAAAACCAAAACCTCTTCATCGTACCCCATCCCAACCAAAACCATTTCTTTCAGCTTCAACCATTTTCAACTAGCTCAACCGCTCTGCAATCCTCTGCAACCCCATTCACCCATTTATTACCCGTCCCTGAATTTCTGCAGTTTCCCTTCGTGGTCTGACTGGCCCACTGCACTTACAGTTCTTTCTTACCTCCTCCCAGCCCTCACACTCAAGTCGAAGAGAAACGACTCTTCCGACCCACTGGTTGTTTCTCCCTAACCCTACGCGGCGCGTCTGTTTATCCTGTGATTTTTCAGAAAAAGACGAACAGCCATGGCTGCCGTTACATCCCAAGTAGCTTTCCCCGCAGCCTACACAGCCGCGCCCGCCGCTCGCGCTGCAGCCTGCTCTGCGCGCGTTTCTCTCCGCACGCCGTCCTTCTCCGCGCAAGCCCTCCCCGCCGTGCGCGCATTCCCCGCGCGGGTGGAGCGCGTGGTCGCTCCGCGCGCGGCGGTGGCGGAGGCGGGGAGCGAGGCGGCGGCGGAGGAGCCTAAGAAGGTCAAGGTGCTGTCGGTAAAGGAGGGCAACCAACGACTGCTCCTTAAATTCGTCTGGCTCGGTGCGTCTCGCATTTCACGCCTCGGGGCTTTTAGACCAAGGCAATCTGTGGGTATTCTCTCAAAAGCGGACGAAACGCCAGGAGGAAGCCAATGCCATTACAAGGGTTCCGGGTTTAGCTAACGTAATTCGTAGCAGCGGTGGTTTCTTCCACGCCGTAGCCAATTTTCTGAGGCCCTTCAGTAATCGTTTGCTTGAGGCGCTTAAAATATCGTCTTATGCGTCGCAGCTATGGTGATTATCCACGGTGGAGTCGATTTCCTCATCCTGACGGTCTTGCTGCGTACGCCGGCCTTGCACACGTAATCGGAGCGCATTGCCTCACGGATTACGGAGACCCGCGAGTTGCTGACGTTTCTTAGCACGTAACGGCTCGGGCGTGTAACTGCTCTGGGGTTGCTCTCGAGTAGTTCGTTTGGAGTGATGTTTGCGCCATGGACAACCCCAGAACGCGCTACTCGAGAGCAACCCCAGAGCAACATGGATTAGCGGATTGCCCACTTATCGCGGATTTGTGGCGGCACATGGTCGGCTCACAGGTTGAATCGCGCGGATCTTATCGGCGTTTCCAGAAGGTTGCAAGTGAATGCAGGATATATAAGGAGCGGCCCTTCTGGACGTGTAGAACCGTAGTCCAGGCTACTAGAAAGGGCTATGGTCTCTGTCAGTCGCTGTTGAGGCGAAGCTCACGTTGGCTTACTTGGTCACGAGAAAGTTCCCTTGAGCTCTTTTCTCGTAGTGAAATGTGTTGACAGGTTGGATTCGAACGCTTGTACACAATGGTTATTGGCCATCGGTACCCTGCGCTCTGCATCCCTATCAGCCGTAGGCGTAGGTACAGGCATAGACGTTGGCGTCAGCGTAGCCAGCAGTGGGCCGACCCCATTAGGCATCCATGGGGTCGGCCGATGTGTGGTGGGTGGGCGGTCTCCCTAATGCCTCTGCATCGTGGCTGAGTATCTGGCCTGCTGGCTAAGAAAGCTGCTGTCGTTTAGGCCTAAATCGTCCTTCCAACCTCGGATCGCAGCGCTCTCAGCTATCTCTTCTCATCTCTCGCA